AGGAGGAGGAGGAGGAGGAGGAGGAGGAGAAGGAGGAGGAGAAGAAGAAGAAGAAGAAGAAGAAGAAGAAGAAGAAGAAGAAGAAGAAGAAGAACAAGAAGAACAAGAACAAGAAGAACAAGAACAAGAAGAACAAGAAGACTATATGCAGATAGAGCATGCATGGGCAAGCATGTTCTAGTCGCGGGCAGGGTTAAAAGATTCCGAATGCCTCACTGGCCAAAGCAGGAGAAAATTTGGTGAAATCGGTGGGAATACCCAATCTCTCAAAGGACAACAGGCGTTTGTGGTATAAAAAATTGGCTCATCATCATTCTCATCATCATCATCATCATCATCATCATCATCATCATCATCATCATCATCATCATCACTGCCTTTGTCACTCTGCATCAGAGTATAGGCCTCGAACAAACACTTTCCACCTTCCCATTTCCAGAGCTGGCCTCTTGGTATTATTCCATGTATCCCATACATGGTGCAAACATTCCACGACGCAATCAGGAGAGATTGGTTCGACGTAGAAGGTTTCGGGTTAGCAGAGTCCTTTCGTCGTCGTCCACTGTCCTTTATTGGTCCTGCTGATGCAGAAGATCCTCTGTCTCGATTCGTCGATTCAAGAGGCAAAAGACGTGAGTTCAATTCCCGTGAATGGAGGTCTACCGTATAAATCACACCCGTCCTTTGGAGATTCTTCATCTCTTTCGGCTAGGCGTTGGCCCTGGCAGGCTGATTTAATGCAGTCGGTTTAATAAGTCATATAAATTGTGTCGATTTGTCTATATTTCAAAACCATCAGAAAAAAATAATAGAGATGCTTTGGCCACATAAGTAGTCTGTTGTGTGAAAAGATAGGGGGACAAAACACAGCAGACACAGATGGCCTGAACAATTTTACTTTGCAGCAAATAACGCGATGAGAAAAACCGAGCTGATCAAGAAGACAGACAGCAGGAAGGAGTGGAATATCATGATTGTCAATGTCTGCTCCAAACTTGACGTTTTTACATGTACAATGTCAACAAACTCACCAGTCTCCGACCACGTGATGCATGATGAGGAAGACACAGGCAGAGTTGAGCACAAACAGAAACTTAGTCACCAAGTACAGACCGGTCAGGTAGGTGCCGAAACTGGGGACAGTACGGAGAGTCAGCCTTATCGACAGCAATGTGATCTGGAGGCAGATCTCTGACATTCATCACCCCCCCCTCTCTGTCTGTCTGTCTGTCTGTCTGTCTGTCTGTCTGTCTGTCTGTCTGTCTGTCT